ATTTATGACCTCTGGAATAGAAAGGAATTTTGTGTCTTTGATTATGTTAGTCACCAAGTAAATTATCCAAAGGGGTAGGAGAAGTACAATTTTTAGAAACACAATAGATTTTCAATATTTAAATTTTGATGGGTTGACAGTGATTAAATCAAGCCTAAATCCTATTTGATCAGAAAAAAACTCTAAAATATTTTTAAGTATATCCTAATCTTTGAAGTAATAGTCCTAGAAACATGAAAGTATAATTTCATAATTAGAGGGATATACACTGTAGTTATTGAGCACACCATATACTTCCTCACTTTATTCTTTTTCTAAGTAAAAAGATGGATATATGTAAAAGCAGTTTCAATTCGGCTATCTTATGTAATTGCCATTTCACCTAAATTACTGGAAGTTTCCTGGGAAACATTTTTTATTTTTAAAAACTTTTGAAAAGACTGAACCTAATGTGTTTTAAGTAAAATCCAACTCATTTTTAAAACATGGTTAAAGAAACAATCATTATGTCAAAATGGCATGTTCTTTCCCCACCAAAAAATAAAATAAATCAGTCTCCCCCCCCCCCCCCCCCCAAAAAACCGTAAATGCTAACAGGATGATTAAGAGGCATAATTGCTTTTTCAAGAACCATCTCCTAAACAGAGTGCCTCAAACCCTTCTCCCTTTCAATAAGTATATTCCAGATACCCACACATTTAATTAAACTATTCTTTCTTAAAGACAATGAATCAGTTTTCTTGTTGTCAAACAAGCAAAGCATTGTTACCTGGTATTCATTTTCTAGTTAGTGGTTTTTACCTTAAGTATGATATTGTTGAAAACAAATATTCCTTGTAGTAAATTTAAGAACTTTCTTCATTCTCATTTCAGACATTAAGATGTATGGGGGAAGGGAGAGAAAAGTGTGGAAAATATAAAATAACTTTTTGAGAAGTTCAGTTTCAATTAAGGAATTTTATAAAGATATCTTGTTGCTGTTCTTAAATTAATTCTGCAACAGAAGCCAAGTGATTTTTTTTTTGGTCTTGAATAGTAATGATACAGATTTTCTTTACCAATAGTGTATATATTAACTATATTTAATATGTCAGAAGTATTTTATTTCTATATCTCTAAATTCTTAGTCCCTACCAGGGCTTAATGACATCAATAGCATGAATTCTGCCAGAGTAGTGAATTTACCATTTATTTTCACAACTTTAAAAAAAAAATCTCAACTTTCCTGTGAAACTGCTATTTTGAGCAAAATACATGAAAAACTAGTAATTTCGATACAGTACATGAAACCACTCAGGTTTTTTTGTTTCTGTAATATAACAGGCATGAATTTGCTGACATTCAAAGTCTTTTTACCTGTTTTTCCTCGCAGGTGTGAGGACTTTTTTCTTAAAAACAAAAGACGCACTCAATTTAGGGAAATGTCTCCACGTACCCCTGTAGCTACCATCAACGAGTCCTGGAAAGCTCTGCAACAAACGGGGTTACTTCACCCGCTCTTTTCAGAGTTTCAGCAAATTAATGCGGTGCGCTCTCTCCAGGTGGTTTTAATGTTTGTTTTAATTAAAAAAATTTCACAAATATGACCTACCCTACACCCCTAAGGCACCTCAGACCATGCTCACTGAAGGGTGCACTTTCCCGCCCAGGTGTATGAAAAGAGCACAGGAGCTGTGAGTGGAAAACATGCAGATTTCGTTGAGCACCCAAAGCAAGAAGACTGCTGAGTCTTAACGCTGCTAAATGTCCTGAAGTTGCTCCGTCTCCTTGAACTGCTTCCGTTCCAACTGCTTCGTGCGTGTCAGGAATACCCAACCCCAACCCCAACAAATCCCTCCTCTGGCGAAGGGGGAGTGGGGGGCCGGTCTCCCACCACCTGCTGGTCCACAGGTGGCCGGGCTGGGAAGG